TAATGTCATCTAACAACTTATGTTTTTTTTTGACGAGATAAATTCACCTTGTTTATCGAGGCTGTCCTGTTAACCTGAGTCAGCTTAACGTGGGGGGAGGAGATGAGGGGAAGGGGAGGGGAGGGGAAACGGGTGGGGTAGGAGGTTAAAGGAAGGAGGAGGTGGGGGGAGGGGGGTGATGGAAGGAGAGGTAGAGTGAGGAAGTGAGAGGATAGGGGAATGTGAGGGGGAAGAGGTAAGGGAGAGAAAGGGGGGAAAGAGGGTAAATGAGGGGAGAGGGTTAAAAAGGGGGAAGGAGGTCAGGGGGGTCAAAGAGAGTCAAGTTGAAATCAAGAGGGGAAGGTCAAGTGTCAGGAGAGGTCAGGGCTAGTGCAGAGAGGGTCAGGGTGAGGTCAAACAGGGTCAGGGAGGTCAAAGAGGGTCAGGAAGGTCAGGGGGAGGTATATATAGGGTCATGGGGGACAAAGGGGGGCTAGGGTGAGATCAGGGGCTATCCTAGTTTTAATAGACCCCACGAGACCAATTATGTTGTCAGGTCGGGAGAAGCCAAGCGGACCAACCATGATGTAGTACTTCATATTATACACCTCCCTGGTTAGGTTTGGTTAGGTTAGGTTAGGTTTGGTTAGGTTAGGTTAATATAGTTTAGAATTGATTTGGTATATGTAGACAAACACACAAACAGAGAGATAACGACACACACACACACACACACACACACACACATGTCAAGATCGTGTCATGAGCTTGTTATAAACATCTCAACAGACACGAACACTTGACACTCCTTCACCTGGTCAACTCATGTATACAATTAAAGGTTATACTTTGTCTGTCACCTGTCATGTTTGTCATTAATTACATGTGGCGTGTCAGCAGCTCTATACCTGACCTTGATAATGAGGTACTGACTCACTCACTCACTTCATGGCGGAGAAATATTAAGATACAATAGTAGAACGAAACACTACACACACACACACACACACACACACACACACACACACACACACACACACACACACACACACACACACACACACACACAACATGCCACACCTCAGAGTTCATATCTGATAAAAGCACTTGCTGCGATTTTTGAGGGGGAAAGTGTTCATACCGAGGGGGAAGGGGAAGGGGAAGGACGACGGAAGACTCTGTCTTGTTATCGGTTCCTGAGGTCGACACGAGGTTACAGTGGGAGAGGGAAGGTGATGATAATGATGTCGAGCAAAAGCGATGAGGTGTGTGTGTGTGTGTGTGTGTGTGTGTGTGTGTGTGTGTGTGTGTGAAGGTCAACGAGAGATAGATAGCATTGATGAGATCGACAGCACTACTGGAGGAGAAAGTGCCAATTCTTATCACAAGCTGTTCCTCTCTATTCACACTTGTTATCATGAACTTTGACCTTTTGACCCTGACAACAACACCAGCTGAAGTAGGTCATCAGTGTTTGCATACACACCAAGCTTTGAGCACACACACACACACACACACACACACACACAACACAGATGCTCATAAAAAAGGGTATTTACTGCCCTAATATACAAACGTGTACACAAAATTATACACGCACACGAAGTTTAATAAATACAATCATTAACACACACACAGTCTTCTCGAATTAATTAGCAATGCTACCCACCACTCTCCCGAACATGCACCACCAGCATTCCCACTCCCCACCACACCTCACCTCTAATTATTACCCTAACTCCCCACCACACCGCATAACTAAGAATAATTTTATACACACAGTCAACATCCTCAAATTAATTCATATTTCTACCGCGTCTCCCATTAAGGCCAGACCACGCACCAGATCCAAGCAAAAATGTCCCTTAAATAGAGAGAGATATAGAGGTGAGTGTCCCTTATATATGTGTGTACAGTAGGTGAGGGGAGAGGAGGTACCAGCTGAGCCCCTTGTGATGTAAACAAACCACGTACCAGAACTAGGTTAAAATGACCCTTAAATAGAGAGAGATATAGAGGTGAGTGTCCCTTATATATGTACAGGTGAGGGGAAAGGAGGGTCCAGCTGAGGTCCTTTTGTGATGTAAACAAACCACGTGGTCTTGTGTTTACAGAATGTTTTTTTACCTTGAATGCCCGGGCGGTGTTTATCGCCTGAGGCCTGAGAGAGGTGCTTTGTGTATGAGAGATAGAGAGAGAGGATGGTAAAGGAAGGTAGGAAAATGGAAAGGAGAGAGAAAATAAGGAAGGAACGAAGGAAGGAAGGAATGGAAAAAAGGAGAGAGAACAGAGGAAGGAAAAGGGAAAGGAAAAAGAAAGGAGAGGGAAATATATATAGAGAGAAAATTAAGAAGAGAGAGAGAGAGAGAGAGAGAGAGAGAGAGAGAGAGAGAGAGAGAGAGAGAGAGAGAGAGAGAGAGAGAGAGAGAGTACCTACATAAAACATTAAATATTTACCTACACGACGCTGGACCAAACACAAGAACCACTCAGGTACAGCCCTTAGTTTTTTCTTTCTTTTTTTTACAGGGATTAGCCCACCCTGACATAGGTCACTGACCCACATCGGGGCCTGGGGGGCGAAAATTTATTAGTGATAATGATGATAATAATAATAATAATAATAATAATAATAATAATAATAATAATAATAATAATAATATTAATAAAGAACCATAAAGAAATACAAAAATTAAAATAAGATCAAAAGTGAGAAATATATGTATGTTGTGTTGTCAAAGTAAGAAAAACAATTGAGACCCTGCAATTGTGTGTAAATGAGGCAGAAAGTCAGATCACCATCCTGGGACTTGGACACAATTTTCGTGATGCCATGTGGCAGCAGGGTCTACCTTCCTGTTTGGTAGCTGCCTACTACCTACTACCTAACTTACAACCCTCCCACTTCACTTAACATTTAAAGCTTACTTACAACCCTCCCACTTCACTTAACACTTAAAGCTTACTTACAACCCTCCCACTTCACTTACACTTAAAGCTTACTTACAACGCTTATCTTAATGGAGTTTTACTTTGTGTTATACTTGCAACTTATGACACAGTATGTGTTTTTATTTTCACGTTATAGTTAAAACAAAAGACCAACGCCTACTTTTGTATTTGATTATTTTAATTTTTATTACTTTTCTAATTGTATTTTTTTGTTAATTTAATTTATTTATTTTTCATAAATTTAAAAAATCTTTAGTTTTTTTCACTTAATTAATCACAGTTAGTTTAGGATTTTGCATTAATTACAATTTAGTTTTACATTTTCCTCTCAAAATTTCAACTTATCTTACATTCTCTTCTTCATCTTCTTCTTCTTTTTCTTCTTCGTCTTCTTCTTCTTTCTCCTCCTCATCATCATCACCATCATCATCATCATCATCATCATTATTATTATTATTATTATTATTATTATTATCATTATCTTCTCTTAGTCTCCTCCTCCTCTCTCTTCTTCTCTCTCCAAACATCATAAAAGATGACTGCTGGTGTTATGAATGACCCTCAGAACGTTTACAAAGCTTATTTGGAGAGTGGAATGCTTAAGAGAGCTTTCTATGACCCGCCCGCCAGCCCACCCACCCACCCACCCAGCCACTCATTCATCCTGCCACCCACTCAGCTACTCATTAAGACAGCCAACCTCCCACTCGTTCACTTTGTCTACCACCCTCCCTCCCTCCCACCCACCCACCCACACGTCTATCCACCTACCCGCCCACCTATCCACGCATTAAGCCAGCCGCCCACCCAATCAGTGAGTTAACCTACCACCCACCCATTCCCCCATCCACTCCTTATGCATGCCACCCATTCATCTTGCCACTAACTCATCCACCCATCTACCCACTCACACTACTCATTCATCTACACTCCATTCCACCCACCAACACATCAATCATTCAGCATAACAGTATATAAATAAACTAATTTACATAGACAGCATATCATCATAACAACAATCCATACTCAAATAAGCATAGCAACACAACAAACCAATTTCCATAACCAATTACTCAGCATAGTAACCAAAGTCTAGCCAATTTGCATACCCAACATGGTTATCATAGCAACAAATTACACCTGGTAGCCAATTAACATAGCAGCACACACACACGAACAACAGGTAATATTCCTCCCCAAAATATATTCTGACTCGAATTCGTTGTATTTAAGACATATATCACGTACAGGAAAGCGACCTCAGGTTAATTAATGGCCAGACAGGTACAGGTGTATCTCGGTATGGTCAGTGATGGTGAATTGCCAACAGGTATTGGAGGAATGTGTGAGCGTGTTTTGTTTTACTGGCTGGTCGACGTGTGTGTGTGTGTGTGTGTGTGTGTGTGTGTGTGTGTGTCGCTAAGTCACGATAATCCAATCTTTTGTATTGAACCACAGAACGAATTGGCCAATGTTGGCTGAAGAACTTTTATATTCCCAAACAAACATCACAAGATTTATGATCTACACACACATATATACACATACACACACACACACTGACACCTAAGTGGTGTATTTCTGGAGAGAAGACGTGGCTACATGACGTTCACAATTTGCATTTGTTTATGAAACACGAAAGCAAGTGGCTGAAGCTGGTGGTGACGCGAAAGTGTGTGTGTGTGTGTGTGTGTGTGTGTGTGTGTGTGTGTGTGTGTGTGTGTGTGTGTGTGTGTGTGTGTGTGTGTGTGTGTGTGTGTGTGTGTGTGTGTGTGTGTGTGTGTGTGTGTGTGTGTGTGTGTGTGTGTGTGTGTGTGTGTGTGTGTGTGTGTGTGTGTGTGTGTGTGTGTGTGTGTGTGTGTGTGTGTGTGTGTGTGTGTGTGTGTGTGTGTGTGTGTGTGTGTGTGTGTGTGTGTGTGTGTGTGTGTGTGTGTGTGTGTGTGTGTGTGTGTGTGTGTGTGTGTGTGCGTGTGTGTGTGTGTGTGTGTGTGTGTGAGATACCATCCCCCCCCTCCATCACGATAAACAGTGTTACCAACGAACTTGCAATAAGGAAAACTGTTACCAACCTCTTCTTTGATGACACATCCTCCGTAGTGGTAATACTGTTAACAGGTATTGTCTCCTGGTGGGGTCATACCTGTAAAAGATAAATTAACATATATTAGCATAAAGCTTTTTACCTCAGAGGAATTACTGTATTTTAATCTGTGTTATGTAGAGTAGCTGTTTTACTCTCTATCATTATTCTCCCTTATTATTAAACTAAAATAAACAAACAAACAGAGAAACAAACAATAACAAACAAACATTTAACCAAAAAAATAGTAAATTAAAAAAATATCCAACGTTTTCCAAAGTCGCCCCCAAAAACAGTTAGAACAGCCTTGCATAATACAGGGTTAGTGGACCAAGGCTGGGGAGAGGTAGGGGAGGAAAGAAGGGGAGGAAGAGAGGAAGGAGAGGGGAGAGAGGTAAGGGAGTAGGGAAGAGAATGGGAATAGGTATGGTAGAGGGAAGGGGGGAATGTGTGTTTGAGAGGAGGTAAAGGCAAGAGAGGGAATGGGAAGGGGGATGTGGGGGGTAAGGAGGAAGGGAAAGGGGGCAAGGGAGGAAGGGAAGGGAGGGAAAAGGAGGGAAACTGCCTGTAGAGGGAAGGAGGAGGTGTCGATAGGGTGAAGGAGGAAGGAGGAAGGTTGTTTGCAGTAGAAATGAAGGAAGGAAGGAAGGGAGGAAGGAAGTTATGGAGAAGGAAGGAAGGAAGAAGGGAAGTGAGAAGGAAGAAGAGAAGGAAGGAAGAAGAAGGAAGGGAGGTAGAGAAGGAAGAAGGAAGAAGAGAAGGAAGGAAGGAAGGAAGGAAGGAAGGAAGGAAGGAAGGAAGGAAGGAAGGAAGGAAGGAAGGAAGGAAGGAAGGAAGGAAGGAAGGAAGGAAGCGAAAGGAAGAGAAGTGAAGAAGGAAGGAAGGAAGGAGGGAAGGAGGGAATCTCTACACACACCTCTGGTCAGACTCATGATTTATGTAAAAACACCTTGAGACCATCACTTCCCCCTTCCTCCCCCTGCTGCCCCTCACCCCTTCCTCCTCCATCCCCCTTCCCCTACCTGTATCCCCTTCCCTTACGTCTTGAAGGTATCGCCCGTACAACACCTGTCGCTGACATGTTGATTATTTACCTCAAGAAATAGGTCAAGGTCAGGTGTGGGGGGGGGAGGGAGGAGGAAAGGCATGTAAGTGGCCAGCCATCAGGTCTAGGGTGGGGTGGTGGGGGGCAAGTGGCCAGCCATCAGGTCTAGGGTGGGGTGGTGGGAGGGAGTAAGTGGCCAGCCATCAGGTCCAGCCGGGGTAAGTGGCCAGCGATCAAGTAAGGGCCCAGGAGACCCTCAGCCCTCATCACCATGTTAGGAATTATTCATAGATGCAGATGTGAGTCTTTGCCTTACCTCTCGCCCGCCCCCTACTGCCCTGCCCTGCCCTGCCCTTAAGAGCCCTTCCCCTGTCCCTTCTACCCTTAATTTCACTCAACCACAATCACATTCTCCCCTTGGCCATCATACCCTTAATCTTACCCTTTTATATCCGCACCATCACCTCCAAGGGACCTAACTCAGTACAGTAACACCTCTATTTAACGGACCTTATGGAGAGAAGCATCCATTATATGAGAAACATTGAAAATCCGTTATATCGAGAGTCCGTTAAATGTAAAACCTCCATCTAACGAAAAACAGATACAAAAAATCCGTTAAATCGAGAGTCCGTTAAATATGAACCCCCCTATTTAACGGATTATGCGGTGAAATAAGTCCGTTATATGAAGGTTTCACAGTACCAACTTGAATTAATCATTTTCTATGTGTTTTAGGGGAGGACTTCAAACGCTCCAGGTAAGAGGAGGTGTTGCATGTAAACAAGTAGTCAGCCCACCTGCCACACGCCACCTCTGTACTACATCACCAGTAGTGGCCTTTATCTGCAGTCTCCCTCACAAACTTGGTAGAGCATTATTTTCACGACTCACCTGAAGATTAGACACCTAAACTTATTTTACCTGTATCTTATGAAAACTAATCTAATTTAATCTAACTTAACTTAAATTAAACCAAACTAACTTAAGAGAACCTAAAACCTAACCTAACACCCCCTAGAGTGTTTAATAATCAGGTAAAATAAACTGGGAAATATCTTATCTTCACGTGACTGGGAATGACGGACTACTGCTAAGATTGATAAAGTCACACTGTAATTTCGCCGCCATTTTGACTCCCACCCCCCTACCCCCCCCCCCCAAGCAATAGTGACCCAACCTAGATTTGGTATAGTCCCCGTGTTAACCAAATGACATAGGGACCAGCTTCTCTTGTGATCAAACAACATATTAGAGTTTCAGAGTAATTTTGTCCTTATAGTCACAGTGTATTGTTGTTGACATATTAACTACTATTTGTTGATAATAATGACTGTTTTTATACGTGTTGCCTTAGTACTTTACTGTGTGTGTGTGTGTGTGTGTGTGGATATTTCTACTGCTTGTCTTAGCACTTTACTGTTATTTCCTGTATTTATTTTGCATCATCAGACAGACAGACAGACAGACAGACAGACAGACACAAACACAAGCAGAGACGCAGAGACAGACAAACAGAGAAGACCAGAAAGTCACACACACACACACACACACACACACACACACAGCTCACTCTGCCTCACCCACATTGTAGCATAACCCGGGAGTTTATGAGTTGCAGGTATCCTTATGGCTCTTGTTTCCGGGTTGTGTAAGCGTCAGCCCTGGTGCTTGTGTAGGTCATTCTCGCTTGTGTGTGTGTGTGTGTGTGTGTGTGAAAATAACTCGCCTTTACAGTTTGAGTCTTGTGATTTTTTGGTGCAAATTTTCGTCTACAAAATTTCGCTAAAGTTTCGTTTTTTTTGGTCTTTTCTTTTTTCGCTAAATTTGTTATATATGTTGTTGTTGTTGTTGTTGTTGTTGTTGTATATGTTGTTGTTGTTGTTGTTTTGTAATTTTCGTCAATACTAACATCATTTTGCAACTTTTATTAATATGGATTATCATTTAATTATCATTTTGCCAATACGATTTTTTTTCTCTTAATAATGATCATTATAATTTTGCAACATCATCATTATTAAGTTACACACACACACACACACACGCACACACACAAAACAAACACACACACACACACACACACACACACACACGTAGTTCAAAGTTTTTCAAAAAACATAATTGCCAGTATAGTATTATTGCATATTTAATCATGAGGTTTAATATTCAACTGGTAATGGGTGTGTGTGTAGGGGTGTGTGTGTGTGGGGTGGTAGGGTGGCAGTGGTGGGTGGTGGTAGGTGGTAGGGTAGTGTGGTGGTGGTAGTGGGTGTGGTAGTGGTGGCAGGAGGTGTGGAGAGGTGGGTGTGGCAGGGTGGGTGTGGTGGTGGTAGGGGTGGCAGTGGTAGTGGTGGGTGTGGAAGTGGGTGGCAGTGGAAGTGGGTGGCAATGGTAGGGTGGCAGGAAGTGGGTGGCAGTGGAAGTGGGTGGATGTATTTATATGTAGCAGTGTTATTGGGTGGCAGTACAAATGGACTTTAGATTCAGTGATCAGAAGAGATTATGCTGGTGGCTGTTAGTACTGATGGTTGTGTTACCTGTAGAGCTGTGTTTACCTGAGAGCTGCACTTACACCTGTTTTACCTTCATTCATTTCTCTCCTTCCCTTCCTTCATTTCCTTCATTCTGACCTCTCTCTGTTTCTCCTTCATACTGACCTTCATATCTCTCTTTACCTTCCTTCTCCTCCTCTTCCCTCCCTTTTGACCTCTCTCTCTCTCTCTCTCTGCCTACGCCCCTTCTTCCTTTCCCTCCTGTGTTCTTTCCTTTACCGCTCTATCCCTTCCTTCCTCCTTTCCTCCCGCCCTCTATTCCTTCCTTTCCACCTTCCTCTACTTCCCTCTCTTTCTCCCTTCCTGTCATCTACACATCAACTTACGTAGACATGAAAAGCTCTTACTCTGTGTGTGTGTGTGTGTGTGTGTGTGTGTGTGTGTGTGTCGGTCAGTGACATTAATGGTCAAAGTTGAAAGGTCAACTTGAGATATGTAGTAACCCATCCTCTCTCTCTCTCTCTCTCTGAGGGTTGGCGACCACGACCCACCATTCCTCTTACGCCCTCAGAGCTATCAGCACCCTGTTGTATCTCTCAAAGGACCACAACTTTTAATGTAATTCACCCAAGCCAATCACTGTCCTCCCCTGGCCCTCCTACCTGTAATTATCACTCATTAACATCTCTACCATTATCCCCCTTATTTCTTCTTCTTCTTCTTCTTCTTCTTCTTCTTCTTCTTATTATTATTATTATTATTATTATTATTATTATTATTATTATTATTATTATTATTATTTTTATTATTATCATTATTATTATTATTATTATTATTTTTATTATTATTATTATTATTATTAAAGACAAAAGTAACTTATTAATGTCCAGTATTTTATCTCACTTCTTATATCAATCTTACCTCACTTAAACCTTCGAGAAACACAGGTACAAGGTGTGGTTAAAGCCCCAGACACAGTACAAGGTGTGGTTAAGGCCCCAGACACAGTACAAGGTGTGGTTAAGGAAACCAAACACAGAATACCTCTCCCGATGATTTCTGGATAAGTTAAGATCCCTGCCAGACCATTAACCCACCTGCCCAAATGTTTTAAATATGGCTAGAGTACACCCTGGAGCGCCATCTTTAACCCACCCGAGGACAACACCTGTCTCCTCCTCCTCCCCCCGTGTGTAATGATATAGGTGTGTGTGTGTGTGTGTGTGTGTGTGTGTGTGTGTGTGTACTTATCATCTCTGAATCTTTACTCTCACTTGAGTATACACTTGTCTTGTATCTCTCTCTCTCTCTCTCTCTCTCTCTCTCTCTCTCTCTCTCTCTCCTTAATCCAACCCAAACAAGAAGCAGGAGGGAGGGAAGAGGAGAGAGCAACAAACAGATAATTAGTTTAACAGATGAAAGAGTAACAGGAGAAAGGCGTTAATTTCCTCCTCCCGAATCAGATTGAAAGTGGATCCCGTCTACTTGATAGCGGGTAGTTAAGGGGGCAGCGTGAAGAC